TGCAGAGACGTCAGGAACCATGGTGGGCCACCAAAACCGTTGTCGGACGAAAGTAATTCTCGATTTCCCAAGTCATAGTTCCTCTCAGTGAGGTTAAGGCAATGAGAAAAGAAGGCGGAGGGATGCAGCTTCTGGTCCTGGGCAGAATGCTGGGACATGACAGCCCCCACTTCGAAGTCCGAGGCGTTGACCTCCACCACGAACTGACGGGACGAGTCCGGTTGGATTAAGATGGGGGCTGTAGTGAATCGCTGCTTGAGGTCTGAGAATGCCCTGTCAGCTGCTGGAGACCATATGAATGGAACCTTGGGAGAGGTGAGTGCAGAGAGGGGGGAAGCAAGGGTGCTGTAACCCTGGACGAAACTACGGTATAAATTGGCAAACCCCAGGAAACGTTGCAGCTGCACTCTGGATGTGGTTTGAGGCCTATCCACCCATCACTCTCACCTTGTCAAGCTCCATCTGAATATTCCCTGCAGCGATGACATATCCTAGGAAGGAGATGGTGGAGCGATGGAACTCACGTTTCTCTGCCTTCACGAAAAGCTGATTCTCCAGGAGACTCTGGAGGACCTGTCGGACATGGAGGACGTGCTCTTGAGCTGACTGGAAATAGATGAGGATGTCGTCGAGGTAGACAAACACAAATCGGTTCAACATGTCTCGGAGCACATCATTGACCAGGGCCTGGAACACTGCGGGAGCGTTGGTCAGTCCGACCGGCATCACCAGGTACTCGTAGTTCCCGCTAGCCGTGTTAAAGGCAGTCTTCCATTCATCTCCTTCCCGTATCAAAATCAGATGGTAGGCGTTCCGAAGGTGCAACTTGGAGAAGATGATCACCCCCATGAGAGGCTTGAAAGCTGAGGAGATGAGTAGTAGCGGATAACATTTTTAAACCGTAATGTCATTGAGACCCCGGTAGTCAATACACGGATGCAGGGTCTTGTTCTTCTTCTCCACAAAGAAGAACCCTGCACCGTCGGGGGAGGAAGATGGACGCATAATCCCTGCAGTGAGAGAGTCCTCAATATACCCTTCCATTGCTTTGGTCTCTGGACCCGACAGGGAATAAAGTCACCCCCGAGGCGGTGCGGTGCCCGGGAGAAGGTCAATAGCACAGTCGTAGGGCCAATGCGGCAGAAGAGATGTGGCTCGGGCATAGTTGAAAACCTCCCGTAAATCCTGGTACTCCGCGGGAACAGCGTAGAGATCCAAGGTTTTTCCCAAGCCAGCAGAGAGACGTCCCTGGACAGGCTGCGCCGACTTCAGGCAATGAGAATGGCAAAACGGGCTCCAACCCATGATGGACCCTGTAGCCCAGTCGATAAGGGGATTTTGCCTCTGGAGCCATGAGAACCCCAAAACCATGGGTACATTAGGAGACTCAAGGAGCAGAAACTGCATGGATTCACTGTGGTTTCCTGACACTCGCAGGTGGTTAGGAACTGTACTTTGGTTGTCAATAGAGCGCCCATCCAGCGCTCTGACGTCCATCAGAATGGAAAGGGGTTTAGTGGAGATGCCCAGCTCCGAGACCAGGGTAGTGTCCATAAAGCTGTCGTTGGCCCCAGAGTCAATGAGCACCCGGATGGATTTGGACTGGCCTCCCCACAACAGGGTAGCATAGAGGGGTTTACGAGTAGTAAGGGATTGTAAACTCCCCGTATGGCTCACCAGTGTACTCGTACCTACTGATGAGCCTGGTCTTTTTAATGGGAAGGTAGATAATAATTGTCCCGTAGCCCCACAATACAGACAGCTCTTGGTGTTTAGTCTGCGTAAGCGCTCAGCAGGAGACAATCTAGCCCTGCCCAGTTGCATGGGCTCTGGAGGAGGCGAATCGGCAGCCCTCAGTGATTCCCGAGAGAACTCGGGTGACCTCGGATTCACTCGGAAATGTAGACTTCAGGGATTTCCGGGATTCCTCTAAGGCGAGGTGGGAATCGAGGACGAGCAAGGGCGACAGGGAACAGATTCCCTCTCCCTCCTACGTTCCCGTAACCGCCCATCGATCCGGATGGTCAAGGCTATGAGGGAGTCGAGGTCCATGGGCAGCTCCCGGGCTGCAAGCTCATCTTTAATCACCTCCGATAATCCGTGAAGGAACATGTCGAACAATGCTTCTGGGTTCCAGGCACTCTCAGCCGCCAACGTGTGAAAATCCACTGCGTAGTCTGCCACACTACAGGAGTCTTGAAGTAGCTGGAGCAGCTTACGAGCAGCCTCTCTCCCAGACAACGGAGAATCTTACGTACCTCCGCCACAGACTCATCCAGACTGAGGCAAATGGTGGACTGTTGCTCCCACACCGCCATAGCCCAGGCGAGTGCCCTCCCGGACATCAGCCTTATGAGGTACGCTATCTTGGAGCGGTCCGAGGGGAACGAAGAAGGCTGCAGCTAGAAGATGAGGGAGCACTGGGAGAGAAAGGCCCGGCAGGTTCCAGAATCTCCAGTGTATCGCTCCTGAGGAGGTAAGTGAGTTTCTCGGGACACCGGGGTAGGCTGGGAAGAAGCGCCACTGGTGGCGGGGTTGCTGGGAGTCTAGGGAATTACTGGTGTGGCTTGCTGCCTAGTAGGGAATCCGCGGAATTGCTCCAGCAATGTATCGAACACATGGTCATGGCATTCTGCCAGGGTATGGAGTCCCTCCATAAGGCATTGCAGTCACTCCTCATGTCTTCAAATGGTGGCGCCTTGCTGGGAGAGAGCGTTGTGGAGCTGGTCTGACTCTGCTGGGTCAGTCATGGCCAGTTCGTACTATCACGGCTCAGGCTAAGACCCAGATGCAGACACAGGAGGCAGATAGTATGAGTCTCAAAGTTGATTAAAGTTCAAGGGGAAGGCAAAAGGTAAGTCAAGGCAGGCAAAGGGTCGTAATCCAAATCAGAGTCAGGCAGGTACAGGACGGGAGGCAATCGGTAGGTCAAGACAGGCAAAGGGTCGTAATCCAAATCAAGTCAGGCAGGTACAGGACGACGGGCAGGATCAGGGTCAGGACAGGCAGAAAGGTCAGAACTGGGAAGACTAAGAAAAACAAACTAGAGCACAGGAAACACGGGAACACGCTGGTAGGACTTGACGGGACAAGACAAACTGGCAACAGACAAACAGAAAACACAGGTATAAATACACAGGGGATAATGAGGGGAGATGGGAGACACCTGGTGGGGGTGGAGACAAGCACAATGACAGGTGAAACAGATCAGGGTGTGACACACACGACTATTGCTTTAAATTAGTATAACCGTTGGATATGACTTTGGGAGTTTCAGTATAAGCAACAATTTGATACATGCCTTCAATTGCATTAACTTACTTTATTCCAATATGTTCATCATTCAGTTGATCATAACTAAGGTGAGTTTGCCTCTGCACTTTTTCTAGGCCCAATGGCTGTTTCCTTGTCTCCTCATTCCTCTGGCACCCGCCTCAGCCGTGTTGTTCTCAACACTAATAAAAAAAAATAGCCTACTGTTTTCTAGAAATCTGGCTTTTTTTTTCAGGTTCGGGCTCATTTAATTTCTGTGATGTCGGACCAGGCCTGGGCTCGGGCTTCAGCTCACTGGGGTCGGACGGGGTTAGAACTTTTAGTTCTGATGAGAACTCTAAATTGCATTCGGGTCTCCTATGCAGTCCGGCAGTGTCAATTATGCGTGTGCTTTGAATTTATGGCGACTTTGTGATTAAATTCGCTGGCTAAAGGCTTCCATGTGACAACCTGTTCGGATAATGTGCAAAAAAAAAAAAAATCCAATCTGCTGCTGCACATTTTGTGTATTTTGTGGAATTGCATTAGTGAACATTGGGGGAAAATGTCATTACATTTTTTGGGGAAATGTGAAGAGTGGTCCTGGGACAGTCCCAGGATCCCGGTTACCGGAGTTAATCCCTAATGGTGACAACCTAAAGTGTGATTTTAAAAAAAAACTACCTAGTGACCCTTCTCTCATTAAACCTTACAGGATAGGTGAGATGACCCTACTCCAGAGTAAGTATTCATACATTTACCAAAAGTTAAATGAAAGTATTGTTGAATTCATTCTGCTATTATCAAGTGTAACAGAAATAAGATAAATGGTTTAGAGCAATAATGTTTCAATGACTTTGTTGTAATTTCCCTTTTAAATAAAATAAAATAAAAACCTGGATTTTTAAATGCAAGGAAATACTCTTATTTCCCTTCTATCAAAACTGCAAAATCAGACCCTTAAAGCGGAATTCAGCAGTAGAAACAATAACAAAGCGTTTTCCCCACCCCTGCTTTGGTAAAAGCTGAGGGATGGGGCTGGAGAAATGTAATCACTCTTAAATACATAGACAGAGCTATGGATGCAAGGACTGAACATCCATGATAAATACATTACCATGTAGCCTATGTTCATTGGTGTTTCTTAGGTATTACTTTGAAAGAGACTGGCATGACTATGTATTTATATAGCCATAAGATGGTTCTTACTTTTACTTACCTTTGGGATGAACATTTGTTACTTTATAATTACATTTTGTGACTTTGTATGTTCCTTGGTGTTTCTGACATATTATATTCAAATAGTGGCGTGACTAGGTATTTACATAGTTATTCGCTGATACTTAATTGTGGTCCTCTGTAGCTCAGCTGGTAGAGCACGGCGCTTGTAAAGCCAAGGTAGTGGGTTCGATCCCCGGGACCACCCATACACAAAAATAAATGTATGCACGCATGAATGTAAGTCGCTTTGGATGAAAGCGTCTGCTAAATGGCATTATATTATTGTATTTACCATCTTACTTACTTGTACTTACCTACATCATTTAAAAATGATTAAGTATATAGCCCTTACTTGCTTGGTTACTAGTAAGTACGTTTAAGACCACATTTTTACTACATATTTAGATTTTTTACCTAGTAAATACAGAGTAATTAACAGGCTGTAAAATGAAGGGTAACCCCCGAACTGCCCCTACAGCCAGTCTGTTTCTGGAGCTTCCATGTTCCTACCCACTGAGTCATGTACCTGCGACGTAGTCTCCAAAGCCAATGGTGCTGAGTGAAATGAAGCAATAGTAGATGGCCTGTGAGTAGCTCCAGCCCTCTTGCTGTTTGAACACCACCATGGGCATCACAAAGAAGAGTGCCGTCCCAGACACGTAGGACAACAGGTGGATCATGAACCGGGTTAACTTCTAATGGAGACAAAAGAAGGGAAGTCAGAGTCAATGTCTCATATGGCCTATTCCCTATATACTGTAAGGCACTCCTTTTGGGCAATGTAGTGCAATGTATGGAAATTGGGTGCCATTTGAGATTCGCACATATTTTAGGAAAAACCGGTAACAAATGACAGGTTGGATGGTCACTGGTATTTGCTAACTGACTATGAATACTGTATACAGACAGAGTTGAAAGAATACGAAGTCCATTGTATTCTGTGGACCCCCCAAAAAGGCATCTTTAAAGAGGTAATCTGCAGTTCAAACAACAACTACGCGGTCAGCGCGCCACTTGTTTTCCCCACATGCGGGCGGGGCCGCAACGTTCTATCTAATACCAACTTGGACTACATATGATTGATATATGGTTCTACCAATCACGGATTACCCTTTTAGTGTGCATATTTTGGTAGCTAACCATTTTCTGTGTTCTCTTTTACCCAATATATTACCCCAAAATGATAGAGGGAACACACTCCTTTTCTGTCAAATTCAAATTTCAGTGAATGTTACTTAAACTGAGTTTACTTTGCAATTTATATCCAGAACTCCGGTGGGTAATGCTTTATATTACAGCCTGGTTAAAGCTGACCTTACCTGATATTTACATGGTATTAACTAAGGCCTCAATTCAATCATATCGAGCGTTAAACAGCATTGGTAGACATCTTCATAGTGGATGTTTTGGCATTGTTGGAAGTGTAACTGCGGTATGAGCTGACAAATAGGTGAGCGGCGGCTGTGTGTCACAAACCACACCCTTCCTTATTATCCCTACAATGTTAGAAGTTCAAAACAGCGATAGAAAGTGTAGGCTAATGCATGTTTTCATGTTCATTTCGATGGGGGGATTTACTGCCTATCAGTCTAATTGAGGTGTAGCGACGATAGAACATCACACATTCGAGTGTTTGAACTTGTAACGTGGCTGCATGAACTTCTGACGTGGCTGGATGGAATTTGTCGGATTATAAAGTCGGGTGGTTTCGTTGCATCCAATGGCATGTCCGCGATAAGCTAACACAAGGAGCCACTTGTGGATTTGACAGTTCTAACGCAGTTCCACCTCCGACACCGCCAAAACAACCGCTATGCAGGTGTCGGCTAGTGAAGATCTGATGCAATCTAACCCTAAGTATCTATTTGGTAACAATGGATACTTCCTGGTACTTACCTCAAAGAACACAACACAGCTGGTCACTACCTGGTAAATACCAGGCTGTAAAACAAAGAGTTACCTTCTGCTGCAATATCTACACATCTCTCAGAGTCTATAGGTAGAGCACTTACCCTGCGATTGGTCTTTCCCTGGATGAAGTCACAGGCATTCCTCTCTATGGCCAGCATGCACTTGCCTACTCTGTTCAGCACCACCATGTTCAGAGGGATCCCAAACAGAGCGAAGAAGACACAGAAGATCTGACCTGCCGTTGTACTGGGGCTCATGTTGCCATAGCCTAGAACAGGGGAAACAAATGGGCTCAACCATTAGGAATGATGTGGTCTGTTTGTTTCTATGATGAACACACAATGGGAACAACAATTGTACTATTACATTATAATACAGGCAGAAGCACATAGCCAATATATTCCTGGGCTATGATGAATGTGAGGCATAAATGAAGACAAGGCATTAAGAAGTTGTTGACACAACTTGCGTTGTATGGAGACGTCACATGATGAGGTTCATTTGTAATTTGGGGTGAACTATTCTTCTAAGATTAGGTACATTTGTAACTGGGGTGAACTACTCCTTTAAAATCAGACACATTTGTAATTTGGGTGAACTATACCTTTAAAATCAGGCACATTTGTAATTTGTGCGAACTTTCCCTTTAAAATGTATGTAATGTTGTCTCCGGCTAGAGCAGCCTACTACTCAATCATGTATAATTTTGGGAACTATCCCTTTAAGATGAGGTACATTAGCAATTTGGGTAAACTATCCATTTAAGATGTCAGGTACATTTTCAATGTGGGTCTGTCCCTTTAAAACTCACCTATAGTGGTGACCACAGTGGCAGCAAACACAGCAGAGCTAGTGAACTTCCAGAAGCTGTCCATGGTCTGGTTCCCTTTCAGACTAAGCCCAACCTTGGAAGAATCTCGAATCACCTGGAAAAATATATATGGACAAGACCAGTATTTCATAACCATTATGGGCGTGATTCAATTCATAGTGCAGCTCGCTGGACAGCTGACAATGCGGCTTTTAAAGCATCATCCCTGACGTTCGTGGAGATTGCATTCTCGGTAAACTGTGTAGATGTCCGCTTAATCGGAAATCACCTTTAAATGTCAAGTGCGCTATAATGTGGCTCTAATGAGGATCGGATTGAATCCCAGCCTATATATACAGTACCAGTCAAAGGTTGGGACACACCTACTCGTTCAAGGGTATTTTATTCTTACTATTTTCTACATTGTAGAATAATAGTGAAGACATCACAACTATGAAATAACACATATGGAACCATGTAGTAACCAAAAAGTGTTAAACAAATCAAAATATGTTTTATATTTGAGATTCTTCAAATAGCCACCCTTTGCCTTGATGACAGCTTTTCACACTCTTGGCATTCTTTCAACCAGCTTCATGAGGTAGTCACCTGGAATGCATATCAATTAACAGGTGTGCCTTGTTAAAAGTTAATTTGTGGAATAATGCGTTTGAGCAAATCAGTTGTGTTGTGACAAGGAAGGGATGGTATACAGAAGATAGCCCTATTTCGTAAAAGACCAAGTCCGTATTTTGGCAAGAACGGCTCAAATAAGCAAAGAGAAACGACAGTCCATCATTACCTTAAAACATGCAGGTCAGTCAATACGGAACATTTCAAGAACTTTATACGTTTCTTCAAGTGCAGTCGCAAAAACCATCAAGCGCTATGATGAAACTGGCTGTCATGAGGACCGCCACAGGAATGGAAGACCCAGAGTTACCTCTGCTGCAGAGGATAAGTTCATTAGAGTTACCAGTCTCAGAAATTGCAGCCCAAATAAATGCTTCACAGAGTTCAAGTATCAGACACATCTCAACATCAACTGTTCAGATGAGACTGTGTGAATCAGGCCTTCATGGTCGAATTGCTGCAAAGAAACCACTACTAAAGGACATCAATAATAAGAAGAGAACTGCTTGGGCCAAGAAACACGATCAATGGACATTAGACCGGTGGAAATGTGTCCTTTGGTCTGGAGTCCAAATTTGAGATTTTTGGTTCCAACCGCTGTGTCTTTGCAAGACGTGGTGTGGGTCAACGGATGATTTTCGCATGTGTATTTCTCACCGTAAAACATGGAGGAGGAGGTGTTATGGTGTGGGGTTGCTTTGCTGGTGACACTGTCTGTGATTTATTTAGAATTCAAGGCACACTTAACCAGCATGCTACCACAGCATTCTGCAGCGATACTCGTCTTGGTTTGGGCTTCGTGATTATTTTAATTTTCAAAGGAAAATGATCCAACCACCTCCAGGCTGGTAAGGGCTATTTGGACCAAACAGAGATGATGAGCTGGCAATCATGACCTGGCCTCCACAATGCCGCCCCTCAACCCAATTTAAGATGTTTGGAGGAGTCGGAAGCGCAGTGAAGGAAAGACTAAAGTGCTCAGCATATGTGGGAACCCATTCAAGACTGTTGGAAACAGCATCCGTTAAGCTAGTAGATGATAGAGAAAAGAGTGTGCAAACGTCATCAAGGCAAGGTGGTATTTGAGAATCCCTAACATAAAAATATTGATTTGTTTAACACTTTTTGGTTACATAATGAATCCAAGTTTTCATAGTTTTGAGTCTTCAACTTAACTACTTACATTTAGAAATAGTCAAAATAAAGAAAACCTTCTGGGTTTATGTAACTGAGTTTAAATCGATATTTTCAATTCTATTTTAGATTGTACTGGGGACTGAACTCAGAAAAACATAGATTAATCGAACCACTGCCTACAAAATTGCAGGACTATTAGTCTCGTGTTGGAAAACAGGACATAAATTCATTATTAGGCCTACTCAACCAAGATAACTTCGACAAATTAATGTCTGGTGGGAGTTTCCCTCGAGGTGATTTAATTTGAGTCTCACATATTGTATACTTTACGAAGTCTAGGGGCACTATGGTACCACCTAGTTGAAACAGTTCTCCCCTTTACAAGCACACCACATTCGCGTAGGTGAGAAATAGCATCGGATCTTAAACCCTTTGCTAACCCTAGTGGTCCAACTTTTCAAGGCCCCTACTCGAGACAGTCACACTAACTCTCAGTCGTAAGTCAAGGTTATATAACAGTTTGCTTGCTTAGTGGACAGACTGTAACCACCGTTCCATCTCTTTATGGTCGCTTGAGCTCATTCTGGGCTTTTAGGTCAATGCAGTTGTCAAGAAGATGATGTACAGTAGACCTGAAAATCCCTTGTAGTGAGGTATGTCTCGGAGCTGTGTCAGAATGAAGATGTTGACACAGCCTATTACATAAACGTCTTCGCAGGGAGCATCACAAATTTGACAGTTACCCCACATATACCGTACACACATACAGCGGTGTGTATTCATGGAGGCCAAGGGAAGCCAGGCTTCCCCAAAAAATTTACCAAGAAAAAAATAAAAACACGTATCGTCTTTCTGTGTTTCATAATTTTCCTTCAATTCGCAACAAGCTGAATGTATGACATTATTGCTGCCCGTAGCATTGAATTCAATAGCAAGATAAGCCAGCGAGCATTTAGCCTCCCTTGATAATTAAAAAAATCAAATGATAGCCAATCAGCATTGAGCTAAACTGAGTGAGATCAACTGTAAATGGTCCTGGCACACCAAAATAAAGTGTCAAGGGAAGCCAGTTTGGATTTGTCTTCACACCAATCACATCACATCAAAAGCAAAACGTCATTGACAGGAAAAACGTGAATTGTTGCATCTCATTTTGTCGTTGTCCTCCGGTGGCTAGCTAGCTAACAAAAATTGTTCCTTTACTAAATTAGCCATGGATGGAGATTTGGACTTGTGGCTTTACTTAATTCTCCATACTGGCCAATGATTATAACTGTGATTCTGATCCAAACATAAATTAATACATTGTGCCCCTGGCCTGAGAGGATGGATGTTCAATATGTAGCTACATGTAGTAGGCTAATGTTAACTAGCTGGTTCATCGTTGCCCATGAAAGGAAGTTCGTTTTTTTTTGGTCATTTTAGCAGACGCTCTTATCCAGAGTGAGTGCATACATTTTCATACTGGCCCCCCGTGGGAAACAAACCCACAACCCTGGCGTTGCAAGCGCCATGCTCTACCAACTGAGCTACAGGGGACTAAAGAGAGAAGGATGGCATTGGCGTTCCTCTACAAGTAGGGTGAGTCAACATGTTTTTTTCTACTTGCACGCACATCACATACACTCACATCATATTTAGCTTACGTTGATTGGGCTAAATAGTTTTTGGTATTTTTAAGTTGTCACTGTATTAGACTAGGCGTAGGTGATTTGATGATGTTGAAGTTGAAATGGAATAGTGGAGGCAGCTCCTGTTTTCTTTGAGACTTGCGGTAACTCCTCGTGGTTCTAGTTGGCCGAAAATTTCGGAAACATTAACTTGCTTGACCATGCTGTAGGTTATGTAACTGCTCATTACATGCAATATGCTTTGTGGATCTTACCGGTCAGATGTTGCTCTCCGGTTTTGTGATGAAACAAACGTGTGGTTGAATTTATTCTGCCACTGTGTGACTGTTGTCTTCTTATTGTCTAGGCCTTAGGCCTATATATCACGGTTGCATATGAACTAACAGGTTATAGACCAAACAATGCAGTTATCACAACACATGCATACAGTGGCTTGCGAAAGTATTCACCCCCCTTGGCATTTTTCCTATTTTGTTGCCTTACAACCTGGAATTAAAATTGATTTTGGGGGGGTTTGTATCAGTTGATTTACACAACATAACTACCACTTTGAAGACAAAAAACATAACACATGAGCGTGCATAACTATTCACCCGCCCCCAAAGTCAATACTTTGTAGAGCCACCTTTTGCAGCAATTACAGCTGCAAGTTTCTTGGGGTATGTCTCTATAAGCTTGGCACATCTAGCCACTGGGATTTTTGCCCATTCTTCAAGGCAAAACTGCTCCAGCTCCTTCAAGTTGGATGGGTTCTGCTGGTGTACAGCAATCTTTAAGTCATACCACAGATTCTCAACCACTCGAGTGTTGCTTTAGCAGCATGCTTAGGGTCATTGTCCTGCTGGAAGGTGAACCTCCGTCCCAGTCTCAAATCTCAGGAAGACTGAAACAGGTTTCCCTCAAGAATGTCCCTTTATTTAGCGCCATCCATCATTCCTTCAATTCTGACCAGTTTCCCAGTCCCTGTCAATGAAAAACATCCCCACAGCATGATGCTGCCACCACCATGCTTCATTGTGGGGATGGTGTTCTCGGGGTGATGAGAGGTGTTGGGTTTGCGCCAGACATAGTGTTTTCCTTGATTGCCAAAAAGCTCAATTTTAGTCTCATCTGACCAGAGTACCTACTTCAATATGTTTGGGGAGTCTCCCACATGCCTTTTGCCGAACACCAAACGTGCTTATTTTTTTCTTTAAGCAATGGCTTTTTTCTGGCCACTCTTCCGTAAAGCCCAGCTCTGTGGAGTGTACGGCTTAAAGTGGTCCTATGGACAGATACTCCAATCTCCGCTGTGGAGCTTTGCAGCTCCTTCAGAGTTATATTTGGTCTCTTTGTTGCCTCTCTGATTAATGCCCTCCTTGCCTGGTCCGTGGGTTTTGGTTGGTGGCCCTCTCTTGGCAGGTTTGTTGTGGTGCCATATTCTTTCCATTTTTTAATAATGGATTTAATGGTGCTCTGTGGGATGTTCAAAGTTTCTGATATTTTTTTATAATCCAACCCTGATCTGTACTTCTCCACAACTTTGTCCCTGACCTGTTTGGAGAGCTCCTTGGTCTTCATGGTGCCGCTTGCTTGGTGGTGCCCCTTGCTATGTGGTGTTGCAGACTCTGGGGCCTTTCAGAACAGGTGTATATATACTGAGATCATGTGACAGATCATGTGACACTTATCTTGCACACAGGTGGACTTTATTTAACTAATTATGTGACTTCTGAAGATAATTGGTTGCACCAGATCTTATTTAGGGGCTTCATAGCAAAGGGGGTGAATACATATGCACGCACCACTTTTCCGTTATTTATTTGTTAAAATTTTTGAAAACAAGTTATTTTTTTCATTTCACTTCACCAATTTGGACTATTTTTTGTATGTCCATTACATGAAATTCAAATAAAAATCAATTTAAATTACAGGTTGTAATGCAACAAAATAGGAAAAACGCCAAGGGGGATGAATACTTTTGTAGGTTGTAATGTGGCTTTTTTTCCTGGCTTGGCTTCCCTATTGATTTTACCTAAGCACCGCTACTGCTCACAAAACAACTACCACAGCTTGAACCCGCTGCCAGAGGACTGCAGACCGACCTACCTGTCCACAGAAGCCCAACCTCAACCATTTAAATCTACCCACCACTTTACATAAATGCACAGCTAAAGCTTTTAAAGTTGAATAAAACAATTATGATTTAAGAACATTTTGCAACCTCTCATAAAGTTTGAGAGAGTTCTTCCATCCCAAAATGGATTACTTGGGAACACCCAGGGGAACTTTGGAACAACTTAAATGTGAAGGGATGACACTCAGGAAAAGCAGTGCATTGTTAAAAGTACCTCAATTTGCATGGGAAAGGATTGCCTCCTTGCCTTGTAAACATCAGTCAACTCTCCAGCAGTGAGTCAGCACCTCTTGACAGACTAGTATTATCCTTGTAAATGGGTCAGTAGCTAGGTTTCCATCCAATTGGCAACAGATTCTCATGTGAATATTGAATATTCTCAAATCTGTGTAAAAATAATATGCATATTTTCCCACCAGAGATTCAGATTCAAATGTACTTGTGCGGATAAAAGGTTGTGCGTGATGACTTCGTGTACATAAAAATACCTTTTGCATTTAAATTCCCATGTACCGAATAAAAAATACAAATGGGTTTCCATCGCATTTTCAACTCTACTGATGGTTTTCTCACAAAAAAGTTGTGTTATATAGCGAGTGTGCCCACTCTGGCAAGCCAACAGCTTACAGATACAGTGCGGATAGGATAGCCTATATGATGTGATTATTATGGACAAAAGAGCGAGATTATTTTTATTTGTCAAACGGCAGCCAAGCATCAATGATAATTTCACCAGAATAAGACCCTCAATACTTATTTTTAAAGGAGCATCAAGCTCATCACATTGCACTTTCACCACCCTGTAAATTCAAGTTCAATATGATGGTTATTATATCAATATTTCAGTTTCCACTGACATTTCTCGCATAATTCAATTTACAGACACAAAAAGATCCCATCTTGTCTAGCGTATTTTGTTTTGTCGACATTTGGTAGTATGTAGAAATGTAAATATGGTGCCTTAGTGTGGCTGAGTGGGTAACACTGCCACAACTCTACTCTGCTTTCATCAGTCATTTATTAACTGCCTCTCATAATGTCACTAGTCTGTCTCCCCTTTATGTCTTAACTATTAAAATATATATATATACGTAAGGAATCATTTAAAAAAGAAGAAATGCAAATATGGAATAATTGAAAAAGGCTACATCAAAAAACTTAATTGGAGGTTTAATATTCTCCCAAACACATTTGCCCGTAACTGTAAAGCCACGTTTACACCTTACGCTAACATGTGGTTTTTGTGATCTGATCAAGGTGATCCAATTGCTATTTGATCAAGGTTTGTCGCATCTGCACATGATATTAAAATGTGTCTCTTATCTGTCCACTGTGTCAAATACAATTGTATTTGTCACATACTTCGTAGACAACAGGTGGATACTCTGATCCGCATTGTGACCAGATTTTCTGGACCCTTCCTGTATAAAAATTTCTTGACAGATATTCTTTCAAATGAATATGTATTTATTTATGTATTATTTTAAGACATATTGATGCCATACGTCAATGTTGCCACCTGTCAATGATTTTAGAGTTCAAGATAATTATGCTTTAAATGGTCTCAATCTCAATCAGATCGCAATGCGTTTTCTATTGTCTGGAACTGTCTAAAAATGTGGGCACAATCATAATGTGAACAAGATCAGGACAAAGGAGACACATGTTAGCACCATCTCTCTCACACACTCACTCACCTGAGCCATAGCATCCAGGGCCTCTTGGTTCAGACAGGGGTATGTGTTTAGTAGCGCCCTCTTGTCCGCCAGTATACGGGCTATATCCTGCTGGACCAGACCTCCTTCCAGCTTCCAGAAGATCAGTCCTCCGATCAACACGTAGGCCACGTACAGTACCGCCAACCTCAGGATAGAGGGGATGCGAGACAGGCTGAACCCACGGAGACAAGCCATGTTGACACCAAGGGCTTTGGGCTGCCTCACAGACTTCTGACAGGGTTCTTCTACCACTGCGAACAAACTAAGTAGACAAGTGGTAAGAATTAAGCCAGCTCTTCCTTCCCTTCCATGCATCGCAGGCAAATGAATCCCCACCCGCACGCACTCCTGTTTCAACCTCCTAAGGCTTAGTATGCAAATCTGACCAGGTAGACAGACGCAGAGTGAGTGAAATAGAGAGAGAAGAGATGTAGGGATATGCAGGGGCATGTGTGGTAGTTTAGGGGAAAGGAGGCTCAATAGTAAAACAGTCAGGACAGGAATCCCAGAAAAATGCCCACACCAGCCAAACATGGGCTAGTCCAGCACTGGGTAGCCCACACCAAGCCCACCTCACCCCAACACGGACCAGCCCACACCAGCCCAACACAGGCCAGCTCACACCAAGCCCAACATGAGTTAGCCCACACCAATCCCACAGCAGCCCAACACGGGCTTGTTTACACCAGGCCTAGCCAATGCCAATTTAAATGACAAGTCAATCTTGCAAATCGGCCATTTCTAATAGTTTGTAGTCTTAACATTTGGCACATAATAACAGCACAGTTGCCAGAAAATAGCCTAACATTCGTTCTTTAAAAGCTTAAAAAGGGGTTTCTCTTGCAACATATTCAAATTCCTTTAATAGTCACATTAGCTCAAAATAGTTATTATTTTGATGGAAAACCGAATTTGCTTCTTAGTTCGTTAGAAGTTAAGTCGAGATTCCTTCTTAATTCACTCGATAATGTTATGGAAAAAGGGTTTATTGGCTAAATGTGGCAAATCTTTTCTTGCTGCTTAAAAAAAAATTGGGCTAGTGTTCAGGCCTTGTGGGCAGGTTTTGTGTAGTCATTGGGCTAGAAATGTTGGCTTGACCTGGCAACCCTGCATATTCCCTAAATACCTTTAAGGCTTGAAAATTATAGAACTTATTATTTCAATTAAATTAAAATAAATAATAAATAAATACATTTACAAGTAACATGTCGTCCCTCCACAAATAATGCAGTACCCCCTTTGGCCAATCAGTGTAATTTTGTAAATGCCGGATCGCTATGGCAAGACGGAGATATCGCGTGTGAAGTAGTACTAATGGACAGAGACAGATCCATAGTCCCCCTCCTGATTTCAGCGGTGGGGACAATACATTCCTATTTAATAGCAAAGGCGCATTAGCCCAATGTGGGCAGCCTACATGGGTCCAATATTTTAGCCCGCATTGGGACACATTGTGCCAATGTTGGCCTGTTTGCTGGGGAAGTGTTTGCAAAGTGAGGGCTGCTCTCACCAGATATGGGCTTCCCAGACTGGGCCATACTAGGCAAATGCCTTGAGGGCCAACCTGGAGCCGATGAGCAGCCTACCTGGGGCCAATATTCGTGCCAAATTGGGCCTATTTGTTGGGGATATATTACTATGGTGGCCACCAAAAGACAAGACAGATCTGTAGTGTCATTTCACAGTGCATAGTGGGTCTCAGACTGCGGTCCTGCAGAGCTTACTGGGGGTGGAGGCTTTTTTTCTATCCCAGCAAGCATAGCAAGGTGAGTGGAAAGGAGGGGACAGGCAGAGCAGTGACTGTATGCTAGCAAGATAGTCCATATCTCACATCATTTGGTATTTGGTATTTACTAGGATCCCCATTAGCCGCTGCAAAAGCATCAGCTACTCTTCCTGGGGTCCACATGAAACATAACATACAGTTGAAGTCTGAAGTTTACATACACCTTAGCCAAATACATTTAAACTCAGTTTTTCACAATTCCTGACATTTAATCCTAGAATTTAAGAATATGAAATGTCAGAATAATAGTAGAGAGAATTATTTATTTCAGCTTTTATTTCTTTCATCACATTCCCAGTGGGTCAGAGGTTTACATACACTCAATTAGTATTTGGTAGCATTGCCTTTCAATTGTTTAACTTAGGTCAAACCTTTCGGGTAGCCTTCCACAAGCTTCCCACAATAAGTTGGGGGAATTTTGGCCCATTCCTCCTGACAGAGCTGATGTAACTGAGTCAGGTTTGTAGGCTTCCTTGCTCGCACACGCTTTTTCAGTTCTGCCCACACATTTTCTATAAGACTGAGGTCAGGGCTTTGTGATGGCCATGCCAATACTTTGACTTTGTTGTCCTTAAGCCATTTTAACTTTGGAAGTATGCTTGGGGTAATTGTCCATTTAGAAGACCCATTTGCGACCAAGCTTTAACTTCCTGACTGATGTCTTGATATGTTGCTTCAATATATCCACATAATTTTACTTCCTCATGATGCCATCTATTTTGTGAAGTGCACCAGTCCCTCCTGCTGCAAAGCACCCCCACAGCATGATGCTGCCACCCCCGTGCTTCACGGTTGGGATGGTGTTCTTCGGCTTGCAATCAACCCCCTTTTTCCTCCAAACATAACGATGGTCATTATGGCCAAACAGTTCTATTTTTGTTTCATAAGACCAGAGGAAATTTCTCCAAAAAGTACGATCTTCGTCCCCATGTGCAGTTGCAAACCGTAGTCTGGCTGTTTTATGGCGATGTTGGAGCAGTGGCTTCTTCCTTGCTGAGCGGCCTTTCAGGTTATGTCAATATAGGACTTGTTTTACTGTGGATATACAGTGGGGAGAATAAGTATTTGATACACTGCCGATTTTGCAGGTTGTCCTACTTACAAAGCATGTAGAGGTCTGTAATTGTTATCATAGGTACACTTCAACTGTGAGAGACGGAATCTAAAACAAAAATCCAGAAAATCACATTGTATGATTTTTAAGTAATTAATTTGCATTTTATTGCATGACATAAGTATTTGATCACCTACCAACCAGTAAGAATTCCGGCTCTCACAGTCCTGTTAGTTTTTCTTTAAGAAGCCCTCCTGTTCTCCACTCATTACCTGTATTAATTGCACCTGTTTGAACTCGTTACCTGTATAAAAGACACCTGTCCACACACTCAATCAAACAGACTCCAACCTGTCCACAATGGCCAAGACCAGAGAGCTGTGTAAGGACATCAGGGATAAAATTGTAGACCTGCACAAGGCTGGGATGGGCTACAGGACAATAGGCAAGCAGATTGGTGAGAAGGCAACAACTGTTGGCGCAATTATTAGAAAATGGAAGAAGTTCAAGATGACGGTCAATCAGCCTCGGTCTGGGGCTCCATGCAAGATCTCACCTTGTGGGGCATCAATGATCATGAGGAAGGTGAGGGATCAGCCCAGAACTACACGGCAGGACCTGGTCAATGACCTGAAGAGAGCTGGAACCACAGTCTCAAAGAAAACCATTAGTAACACACTACGCCGTCATGGATTAAAATCCTGCAGCGCACGCAAGGTCCCCCTGCTCAAGCCAGCGCATGTCCAGGCCCGTCTGAAGTTTGCCAATGACCATCTGGATGATCCAGAGGAGGAATGGGAGAAGGTCATGTGGTCTGATGAGACAAAAATATAGCTTTTTGGTCTAAACTCCACTCTCTGTGTTTGGAGGAAGAAGAAGGATGAGTACAACCCCAAGAACACCATCCCAACCGTGAAGCATGGAGGTGGAAACATCATTCTTTTGGGATGCTTTTCTGCAAAGGGGACAGGACGACTGCACCGTATTGAGGGGAGGATGGATGGGGCCATGTATTGCGAGATCTTGGCCAACAACCTCCTTCCCTCAGTAAGAGCATTGCAGATGGGTCGTGGATGGGTCTTCCAGCATGACAACAACCCGAAACACACAGCCAGGGCAACTAAGGAGTGTCTCCGTAAGACGTATCTCAAGGTCCTGGAGTGGGCTAGCCAGTCTCCAGACCTGAACCCAATAGAAAATCTTTGGAGGGAGCTGAAAGTCCGTATTGCCCAGCGACAGCCCCAAAACCTGAAGGATCTGGAGAAGGTCTGTATGGAGGAGTGGGCCAAAATCCCTGCTGCAGTGTGTGCAAACCTGGTCAAGACCTACAGGAAACGTATGATCTCTGTAATTGCAAACAAAGGTTTCTGTACCAAATATTAAGTTCTGCTTTTCTGATGTATCAAATACTTATGTCATGCAATATAATGCAAATGAATTACTTAAAAATCATACAAGGTGATTTTCTGGATTTTTGTTTTAGATTCCGTCTCTCACAGTTGAAGTGTACCTATGATATAAATTACAGACCTCTACATGCTTTGTAAGTAGGAAAACCTGCAAAATCGACAGTGTATCAAATACTTGTTCTCCCCACTGTAGATACTTTTGTACCTGTTTCCTCCAGCATCTTCACAAGGTCCTTTGCTGTTGTTCTGGGATTGATTTGCACTTTTCGCACCACAGTACGTTCATCTCTAGGAGACAGAACGCGTCTCCTTCCTAAGCGGTATGATGGCTGCGTTGTCCCATGGTGTTTATACTTGCATACTATTGTTTGTACAGATGAATGTGGTACCTTCAGGCATTTGGAAATTGCTCCCAAGGATGAACCAGACTTGTGGAGGTCTACAATTATTTTTCTGAGGTCTTGGCAGATGTCTTGATTTTCCCATGATGTCAAGCAAAGAGGCACTGAGTTTGAAGGTAGGCCTTGAAATACATCCACAGGTACAACTCCAATTGACTCAAATGATGTCAATTAGCCTATCATAAGCTTCTACAGTGATACAGTGAATTATAAGTGAAATAATGTGTCTGTAAACAATTGTTGGAAAAATTACTTGTGTCATGCACAAAGTAGATGTCCTAACCGACTTGCCAAAACTATAGTTTGTTAACAAGAAATGTGTGGAGTGGTTGAAAAATGAGTTTTAATGACTCCAACCTAAGTGTATGTAAACATCCGACTTCAACTGTATTATTGACAAGATATAATGGCAAAACATGCATAGGCCTATGACATCTGAACTTTGTGTTAATCTAAAAAACATGCTTTATTACTCAAAATACCTATCATTAAATGTATGCCTTTACTACTAATGAACAGCAACTTTATTCGAATATTTTGCCATCATATTGTCATTGTACATTGTAAGAAAGAGAGAATACACAGTGTCAAAGTCCCAAGC